ATCTCAAATTTAGAATTAAATGCTGTGATTGAATAAATTTTTGAACTATTGACCTCAGATTTGTGTGATTTTTGGATGTCCCCATGCAGTTTTGGCCGATCCATTACACAGAGTTCTTCAGGTGTAAAAGCCGTATGCAAAAAAAAAAAAAAGAAAAAAAAGTATTTGTAGTGCAAAGCTAAAAAACCCTAGAGGGAAACTTTTACACTGTGTCGTGTAAGACACACATTCTCGCCAGAATATATCCTTCATATTTATAAGTCTACCATTTCTTTCATGCTTTTCTTACTGCTGCTAAATATGATCTGGTTCTCCTGCTATATATTTAGAGATCCTTGATAAACTGCGATGAAGAATTCGCAATGTTATTAGCCCTGACCTGGTATTTAAATGCAATGTCAATCGTTATCTTCTGTCTTTTTGGTCTTCTTTTATTGTTTTCTTTCCTTAATAATTGTCATGGGTCCATACCTATAACTACAGAATGAACTCTTCCTAACACTATGTATACTACGCCTCTTAAGGGAGAGGGACGAATCGAGTCGAGCCGATAGTAGTTCACTCCAAACCAGACTGACAGTCATACTAACACCTTCCACATCTTGTATTATTATTTCGTGTAATATACCTTCGTTATTTCTACTCTTATGCTCGTGTTGTTCTTCCTTGGTCCTAACCTAGACCATAACAATAATGTCGCTTTTTTCTTACTCTTTCGCTTTCAGTAACTCTTTGTGTGCACAAAGAAATACATAAATAAAAAAAAATAATTATACTGTCACTTTGTCTTGTCCATAAAAAATTAAAAAAAATAGATGATAATGTCAAAAACAATTGTAATAAAATAATTATAAAAATTATAATTATCATTAATTCACTCTTTCCAAATCGATGAGAATCAACCCCAGTGTTCTTCTCTACGCACAGAAACACGTGACATTCTCAATAACAGACAAGCAGTCAACAAAAATTTCGGCTTCCTTTCCAGGACATAATGGTAGCGTTTACCTTTGAGCAATCAACAAAAATACAAGGTAAAAATACCTCAGAAAATTCTAAGTAATTTATCTGGACAATCGTTATACACATATGTAAAAGACATATGAGAAAGACTACATACATTTTTCTATTTCTTTATCTGATCATTGTGTCGGATTCCGATCCATATTTGATCTAAATTTGATCCAAAACTCAGTTTTAATCAGTATTACTGTCTCTTGTTTCTCCAACGCCACATAACAACCAGAAAAACAGTACTCGTTTTGTTTTTTCCACGTCTCGTTGTTTCTCATTGTTACGAGTATTTTCGTAGATATAACTGTTACAGGGGTGGTTATAATTATATATATATATATATATATATATACGACGATCCGCTTAGGTGAAACCTTGGTAGGTTTGTCTGGCTCTCTAGGTTTATCTATATATATATATATATATATATATATATATATATATATATATATATATATATAAAACTCCTTGTTACTTAAGATGAAGTTATTAAAAATAATAGAAAAAGTTAAGGTATCATTTGTAAAATCGATTAATTCTTGTTTAGCAAATTATTTTTGCAGTGATGTTAACGATTCAGTTTTTTGATTGCTAACATTTTTCCATTGTACTTACCAATAATTTTTTTTTTTATAGAGGGTGTCCTTAGAAGGGATAGGCTGAGGAGCAGACACGGACGCACATATATACACACACAAAAGAATGAGTTCAGTTGTATTGAAATCACTTTGAATGATAATTACTTCTCAAAACGGTAGTTGGCGATCGAATATCGATGTATTATTTGGATGGGAAATCTATTCAATATTCAATCTCCTGTGTTCTTTACGAAGGCATCACTTTCATAAGCCCATTTATATTTTTTAAAATGCACCATTATCTCTTAAAAGGTCATCGTCAATTGATCTTTTTCTTTTAAATATTGATTTCACCCCATGAAAGGAAGTAAAGCCACTAAAACACAAGAGGTTGCAAGGTGTAGAAGAATTAAGAACAGAAACATTAATAGTGGGCAGAAAGAGAAAAGAGTAATCAGGAGGACAGTAGATAGCGATCGATATTGCATTTGAATTTTTGCAGATTAAAGTTGGCAGGAAAGCATGGAACCGGAAGGAAGTTCTACAAGCGAGAACTGCGAGAAAAGAAAGTATTAGCATAGACCTTACGGATATATATAGCCAGCTCAACTGTCAATTGATGAGATTCCGACGTCACTCTAGTACAGCGCTTAAATTCATGAAATCTAGATACCATAATGAAGAGCTCACTGAAATATTCATAGAAGAGGCACAGAGAAGCAAGCCACCAGATCAGGACCAATGATATTGCTGATTCTTTTTTGGATCTTATCAAGGTATATCGCAAGGGCACTGGACCATATGCGCCAGCAATATTTTAAGTACGGACGAATGGTGGACTTATAGATATGTAAGATAAATTCTGGAGAGAAAAACTGTCTCGCACGACACAGTGAACCGACTTTCTTAGCTGCTAATGTAGCAATAGCTTCAATATGGTCTTTCAACTTTATGTCACCTGAGAACGTTAACCCGAGAAGGCGTAACTTGGTGGAGATTAGCAGCAGCCATCCTGGTGGAAGGGAGAAGAGGACTCTCTCAGATGATTAATAGAGAGAAGTTTCGTTTTTTTTTTGGGGGGGGGCGTTATAATTAACAAGTCATCTTTTACTTCAATTAACAGCGAACTTTAGGGTGTTTTTGGAAATCGGCTGCCAAGTTTCCTTAGAAATCAGCGGATATAATCGATTTGCGATATAAACATTTTTTCAGCGATACGGCAGCATTGGTTTATGAATCGAGTCTAAATGGGTATTTGCCAACTCTAGGATACGTGAAGTCTCGAGATTTTACGAGATTTCATTAATTTTTGGAGTAGATGTCTGCAAGTAAATCTAGAAGAACAAACCAACGTGAGTACTATATTTCCACAGATACAGTAAGTTTGGTTGATGTTATTTAGCGGCATATCAACCGCTAAATGATATTTAATTCCAAAATCTAAATATTTATACATAATTTTATGTCTTCAGTGTAAAGGTATGTTCAGATATAAAGACTGTACATGACAAGATGTAATAATGGTATTTAAAAATGGTATTGCTGGTATTTTTGAAGCAAAAGTATTGCTCGTAATTTCACTACAAAAATGTATTGTTGGTAATTTTTTTTCATAAAAATGTATTTTTATACTTTTTAGCGTTGTACTGATTGCTATAGAAATGTATTCTTTGCCATTTTATTATAAAAATATCCTGTTGATTTTTGTTGGAGGAGTCACTATTTGTCCATAGCTGGGACGTTAACATGTGCTACCACTCTGGGCCAAGGTGGACATGGGAGCAACAACAGTTAAGAGGTCGTTCCACACTCCTCAAACCCCGCCAATCAAAAGCCTTGCTGCTAGATGTAGTTTATCGTCATTCCAAGGACGTGTATAGAAACACACACACACACACACACACACACACACACACACACACACACACACACACACACAACCGTTTAATTCAAAATTTCTAAGAAATTAACATCCCTATGTGAAATATTTGACCAAGAGGAGAAAAATTAAACCAAATGCTTATGGTAAATTCTTGCTAGAGAATATGCTACAATGGAAGTCACATATTGTGATCACTTTGAGACAGGGAATTTTGATAACAATAATCAGTTGATAATATAGGAAACAAACCCTATTTACAACACCATTATATACCCACATACATAAACGGCTTTCTCCAAACCTGACACAAGAGAAGACGCGGGTTTTTTTTTATTCTCTCTCAAAACAGCATGGTGAAAGAAATATCTAAAACAATAACAGCGTGGACGACCAGTCGGTGACTTCAAGCGAGTCATCTCCAACAACGACAACAGCCTTCACGGCCAGTCGGCGACTTCACGCGAATCATCTCCAACAACAAAACCATGGACGGCCAGTCGGTGACTTCAAACAAGTCAGTTCCAAAACAACAGCGTGGAACGTCCAGTCGGCCACTTCAAACAATCATCTCCAACAATAACAGCGAGTACAGCCAGCCAACGACTTCAAACAATCTACAACAATATCAAAAAAAAAAAAAAAAAAAAATAAATTGGGAGTCAGTGAATCTTCGCTAACGGTAAACGTCTTCTATAAAACACAACTGATTGCTTTTTTTTTTTTTTTTGTGGACCAAATATTTAAAAGATTTTTTCAAAACTACAACTGTTTTTCTGTGTACGAACCATCCAAAAATTTCGACTCAAAGAAAGTCCTTTTTAATACTTTTTTTAAACTCATTGGAATTCATGCATATATGTTTACAAATATAAATGACTTATCTAACAGGAATGCCTAGGTTTTCTATTTTTTTAAATTTTATTATTGTCTGGAGTTCGGACGTTCGGATTTCTAATATAAAAGCCTGATCGACTAAATTTCCTCCAACATCAACCTTTGTGTTTTTTTTTTTTTAAACCGACTCATGACTATATCAGAACATTGATCTGTTCACGTGATTTCAACTGGAAAGCTTTTACCGAAGATCTAAATATATTATTTAAAATTTAATGATAAGATAACTTCTTTCTTATTGAATTTTAGGATTCTTAATTAACTTATAAAATATTTTCTAAAAACTTTTCTTAAGTTTATTACTTGAAAAAAAAAAAAAAACAAAAAAAACCTCTCTTTCATTTGCTTCGCGTGTGATGCCGTTAGAGTTATATGTCTGCTTTTCTAGAACACCAGAACGTCTCCTTCCTGAAACACATTGGGAGTCTGCAGAACTTCTGCAAAGCGGAGCAGGTGGTATTTGGCCATGGGTATACAACATAGGTCCCAAGGCCAGAACATGAAATAGACATGTTGTGCAGGATCGACACGGAACGATCCGATCCTGAACTCACATGCCCGAAGAATTTAATTACTGTATTTCAAATTTAATCATTTAATTAAAATAACTTTCATTTTTATATGGACGAAACAGAACAATGAGGGAAATAAATGAAATAATGAGGAAAAGAAAAGAGAGAAAGGTCGGTAGACAAGTATGACAGAACGAAGGAGAAAAAGAAAGAAAACGGTAATGAAAAGGAAGGAATGAGGAGATGATAGAAAGGAATGGGAGTACGAAAGAGAGAAGGAAATAACGAGGTAGGGGTGTGAAAAGACAGAAGAACAAGAGACAAGAATGAGAGTACGAAAGAGAGAAGGAAATAACGAGGTAGGGGTGTGAAAAGACAGAAGAACAAGAGACAAGAATGAGAGTACGAAAGAGAGAAGGAAATAACGAGGTAGGGGTGTGAAAAGACAGAAGAACAAGAGACAAGAATGAGAGTACGAAAGAGAGAAGGAAATAACGAGGTAGGGGTGTGAAACGACTGAAGAGACACGAAACAAGAACGAGAGTACGAAAGAGAGAAAGAAAAAACGAGGTAAGGATATAAACAGACAGAAGAGACAAGAAACAAGAATGAGAGTACGAAAGAGAGAAGGAAATAACGAGGTAGAGATGTGAAAAGACAGAAGAGACCAGAAACAAGAACTAGAGTACGAAAGAGAGAAAGAAAGAAAAAAGATGACGAAGCGAAAAGTCAGATGAAATCATAGAAAGGAAAGAATGTACGAAAAATAGAAGGAAATTTCGCAGTAGAGAAGTGAAAAAGCAAATGAGGCAAGAGACAAATATGAGGGTACGAAAGAGAGAAATAAAGAAAACAGTGAGTGAAGAAAAGACAGAGACGTTAACACATGAATGAGAGTACGATAGAGAGAAGGAAATATTACAATCAGGAAGTGAAAAGACAGAAACGGTAAGAGACAAAAATGAGTGTATAAAAAGGATAAAGAAAAGGTTAATGATAAGAAAAGTCATGTGAGAAGAGACACAAGAATGAGAGTGCAAAAGAGAGAAGGAAAGATGAAGAAGTCAAAAAATGGAGATGTAAATTTAAAAATTATGAGTTGTTGAATAACAAACCTCGTTATATATGCAGAAAAAAATTACTATTTCTAAAATTATCGACTTTTCTCTTTGCTGATTATTAAAAAAAATTAATAAATAAATAAAGCAGCTCAGTTTTCAGCTAAAAATTCTTTTTTTTTACTATTTTAATAAAAAAACACCTAATATTCATCAGAAATCTCTTTCGCGTAAACAAGGAATATTATTTCATATAGTTTTGAAACTTCGTCTGGTTCGTTTTTTACGTTTTTTACGATTCGTTTTTTACGGTTTATCAACACTTTGTAGATCATTTAAAGGCAGAAAATATTTTTAGACTTTGCGAATAATTTTTTGGAGGTAATAAGGATGTAGTAATACTAGTATTACGAATTAACCCTCATCTGATGGAGGGAGAAAAGGTGGATTCATGCCTTCCCCAAGGGTATTTGCGCGTAAATGAATATAACGAAGCGAACTGGAATTTGAATTCAGCTTTCCAGTAAATAATTCCGAGCCATTAAACATTATACCGTTCACACATCCAACCTTACAGCACCTAGTATTCCCAAATAGTCATCCATCTCGGGATCGATCAGACTCGACGCTGCTTAACTACTTTTGAAGGTATCGTCCGTCGAAGAAATTAATGCAGTCATAAAATAACATGCCATGAATAATACTAATTAAAAAAAGTAAAATGCTGTAGAAAACAAATTTTCTTATTTATTGTGTTGATAGTTTAGGTAAAAGTGAGAAAAGCCTGTTGTCTATGTACGGGCTAAAAATTCTCAGGCTGACTACGAAGAAGTTATTCTCGAACAATGAAACCTTGCATTACTTTCAGCCAATCCTCTTACAAACTACATTTTTTTCCTTTCCAGGTAAAATGATATTTGAAGATTTAAAGAAGACTTCAAATGCAACATGTAACGAATTCTCTTTAAAATGAACAATGTATGGTAATCTTTCTAGCATAAACAAAATGCAATACTCGCCAGCGACGTGAAGTAGGTAAACCACTGCTAGTAGTGGATTACTTAGATAGCATATTACGATATTTACCTGCCTCCCCACGAGGTAGAATGTAGCACAAGGCCAAATTTAATGTGGAGAAATCCGAGCACGTGGCTCGGGCAAAAATTGCCAGTAGGACCCGCCTATCGAGTATCTATCTGCCTCTCAGGACGACAAAGCCTCTCCCGGGTTCCTCTCTGCCCTGAGGAAGAGGGTTTGAAACGGCAAGAACTGATAGCTGACACTGTGAGCTTAGGCAGCAGATTGCCTCCACTTACAATAGTGTTCAATGTATTTATGAGGAATGGGACATAGGTACGGTATATAAGAGTCTGGCATCGTGGCGTTATCAATTATCTGCAGAAAAGGAGTTTAGCCTCTAAGGCTATTCATACTGACATGATTGCAACATTAAGGGATGACGCCCCAGGTTTATCAGCAGTACAGAAGTCGGCAGCTGAATTAACGATGGAAATGACGTCTCTCGAAGTTGACCTAAGATCTGGGCGTCTTGCACCTGCGCTCACCGAGGAAAACATTGATCGTGTTCCCTACATGGTGATGGATCGCAGATACATCCCGTGAGAACGTTGAAAATATTCTTCACAATGAACTTGGGATGACGAAGGTTTCTGTTCGGTGTGTTCCACGTCTCCTGACACCCGATTCAATGCGCACAGGATAATCGTATCACGGGAAAATTTGAAAGTGTTTGAGGAAGATACAGCTCGTTTCCTTCAACGTTTCCTAACCAGAGACGTGTGTAGACTCCATTGAGACAAAGAGACAATCCATGCAGTGGGTAAGAAGACCAAGGTGGTTTCATCTGCAGGGAAGGTGATGACCTTAATTTTTATGATGGAAAAGGGATTGTGTTTATTGACTATCTTCAAGAGAGACACACTATCAATGGAGAGTACAAAGCCAACTTGCTGAGACAGGTACAACAGTGCTCCAGTTCCATCTGCGTGTGATCGTGGCTTTGAACTGGTTGATAACCCCCTTTTTTCTCCTGATTTCACTCTCATCTGTTTCTTAACACTTGGCTAAGAACCAGTATGGCAATGATGATGATGTCATATCTGCTGTTGTTTTGAACAACAGTCATCTTTGAACAGTCATATGTCAATTTATCTGGAAACAGTACAGTTATTAGGAAGAAGAGTTGAAATTAGTTCATATAAGATTTCACAGCTCTAGCATAAATCCCTCATAGTCAGTCTAGGAACTCTTCAGCTCACCTTCATATAGACAGTGATAGTAGGAATGACTTACTGGTTGCTGTAGTTGATCTGGTTTGGGGTCCATAACAATTATACTGTAGTTTGGTTGTGATTGATGTTAAAAGAAGAATAAGGGTTTTTACTTGGTTATGTATGGTTTTGGTAATTTACAATTACTTCCAGCAGTCATAGAGTATAGGGTATTTCATTGGTCAATGAATTAGGTGAGTATATTACATGTTTTCTATTTCTTTTAACTAAAATTCGCTCAATTCAAGTCTCGAGGACTACTCAATATAGAGCAATACTGTTAAAATGATAATGATCGATGAGATATGTGTTGTGGCCTTGTTAGGGCCAAAAGAAAGACGCAAGAGAGGAATTGAGTTAAGCAAATATATTAACAGAAACAGTAATACAAACATATACCAACGAGAGTGTTACAGTAAGAATGTTAGGTCCGACTGTCCGAGCTGACTTCTGGAAACTTCCCTCTTCAAAAGACAGTACCTGCTCCTATTTATAGCTGGGAGAGTCTATACGTGCGTGGGTACATTACTATAACAATATGTGAATAGAATGGAAGAACAGATGGTAGAAAGGGAAGCTTATGACGATAAGGAAGATAGATAACAATTGACCATTGACTTGAAGGAGTTAAGATTGTAGTTTTCAACCTGGGTCTATTTTCTACACATTGACAGTTCTTAAGCTGTTTGAGTAAAACATTCTTCTTTAATTTGCAATACGGGAGGAATAAGGAGGACCCGTCTCCGTGGAAGCAGTATGACGCGTCCTAGCGGTACGGGCCTGAACTAGGGAAAATAAAAATTGTGTTCATCTGTATTGTTGCCATGGAAGTAGTGACAAAGTAGTGATATGCTTGTAATCTTTTGAAAAGAGTGCAGGATGATTTTTCGCCAACAAAACGGTTTTGAATTCCATCAAGGGTGCAATGAGCCGTTCAACTCCAGATTTGACAGTAATATTTTCAGTTTGGATCTAATCTAACTCGTGTCAAGATAAATCGTGTCCGAAGAAATCACGTACTTCCAGGATTGATAGAATGAGCCGACCACTTTGCTCCTGAATCTTCATCGATAACATTTTTATGAGTTCCACTAGAGCTCGTGAGGGTGCTTAAGACCCAACAGATGTTCAAAGCATGAATACCTCATTCTGAATGAACTATTGATCGTGAATAGAGGACACCCAGGGTCTTATCGGCAAGGATGAAGAAAAATTAACTTGAGTTACCGAAAGTTACAAGGTAGTTGTCTTTTCGCCATGGAACTGCTCGTGCTAGTTAGAAGAGAGATCAATAGCAATATACCGACCTTATGGATCTATGTAAGTATGCCCATAAAATATAGTATCAATTGCATAGATGCTTGCCACGTATCTAACAATTTTCCTCGGCTGATCGTTAATAAAATGAAGAAAAAGAGTAGGACCGAGAAGAGAGACTTGGGAGACGCGTGCATTGATTTTGCGGATTTCCGAAGACTAAGGGAAAGTCGATTAAATTTGGGGTTTGACATGATAAATAATGACACAATTTTTTTTTTTTTCAAATCGTTACCGTTTTTCGTAGAAACGGTTTGAAAATTAAGTTTTGATTCAAAATCATAGAGTTACAATTTTATTCCGGTGACCAGTGAAAGCCTTAGAGCACAGCCTTATAAAATTGACAATTTAACGAAGCTTTACAAATTATATATGGATAAGATGCACGGTACAAATACATTAATGCTAAATCATTGTGTCATCAAACAAGGCCTTCATTTACTTCAAACGGAAGCTATACTAAACATTTATGTATTATGATGTAATATATTAAGCAGTGCAGTAGTTTTAGTGTTATTTTCAATAAACAATGTAAATTGAAAATGAATTTGTCTCATAATTTTTGCCCGGCAGTATTATGGTATTATTTACAGTTTTATCTATTTTTTGTTTTTATTAATTATGATCTAACAAATAATCTAGCAAATCTTATTCATCAATGAATAAGATTTCATCGTATACAGCAAAAATTTTGCATATTTTGCTTGTGGTGATTGATAATTAGAATTCTGACTTGAATATATTTTCCATTCAATTCATCTAATACAAAATATATCAACTTTATTTGGATTTATTCGTGAAATATTAAAATTTTGAAGTCATTTTTTAATAAAAAAACCTACGGAAATTAGGTATTTCTCTACATTTTTCATAAATTGATAAAATCTATCAGTCTAATTTTCGGTCGCAGTATTTATTACATTAAAGCCCAGATTTCACATCGAGTGCAATGTTGATTTTCTAATCATAGTGAAAAATCAACCTGCCCTACTGGTTAATCCCAACCACCTTCATGTACCAGCATTTTTTGCGATGAATTGTATGCACGAGTTCAACATGAGATCTTGAGATCCGATAGATGTTCAAATCGTGAAACTTCATTGAGATTACAGTCGTTCATTGAGACTGGCGAAAATTCAACTTCTGGTTAGGTTAGTGATAATGAAACAATACTACCTTGTTTTTTGCGGTATTGAAAATTGCTAACCAGTTTTTCCCATCCGATTGAGCTGTTAGAGCTCAATCATAGGAGAGATCACTTGCAAGGCTCTGATCAACTAGGAATATCTCATCTTATTCAATGCTGCTAAGTTATTGTTGTTTTCGCTGAGTCTAGTGAAAAAT